TTCATAAGAATGCATGCATTATGTTGTTTTAAATATGTTCTTTTCTTTGTAATCAAGTCGAGGTGTTGTTAAAAGGTGTTTTGCATGCAGGCGTGCTAAATAGCGAGCTAACGTTAGGGGTTTTAAGCTAGCTAGCTAACGTTAGCTTAAATATGAACATCTCGACTGGAAACAAGCTGACTCTATAAAACATGTCGTATTATATAGCTACATACGTCTATCAGTTCAACTTGCCGTCTATTGATGCTTTAAACATTTATCATGAGTGCATTCTTACCTGTTGTCTTTTAATTCTAAATTCCTCTGAATCCGCCATGTTTTAATTATGCTACAAACGCCGCCTTTCAAAACACCCACCCACCTCAGGGGTTAAAGGTCAGGAGAACCCTAACAATAACCTTCTGTACACTCAATGAAAAAGGTAAGCCAGACGGAGAAGGACAAGTTTTAAACAAGGCATCCCCTTAGGTATTTGGATACTTTTTGTAGCTAAGAAACCATCCTATAAACAAAGCGTTTAAATAATGTAAAGACGGCCGTAAAGCCACTCCTGTCTGTGGAAAAGACACAGAAATGAGTGCCTTGAATGCATAGTCTGACGATGAATTAAATAAACCTCGTTATATTTTATGGCACTCCAAGTGCAACAACACATCCCTGCTTTGGGAAATGGAATTCCTGAAAAAATTCTGCGCAAAAATGGGTCAGTACGGTAATTCCAAATAGAATTTAAATAAAATAAAAGAACATCAATTTTTGTAACTTCATCGCATTTGGACTTACGAGTTTCTCTATTCAGCACCATTATGAAACTGATTTTAGTTCAATGAAAAATCAGTGGTTGGAAATATGTAATTTCCATCAGAGTATGAGGGACAAAAAATGACTAAAGTATAATTAAATAAATAAATGTTGGGAGAAATGCATACAATAATGTATAAATTAATAAATAATTAAATAAATGCATCAATAAATATATAAATAAATATATAAATGCTGGAAACAATACATCAATGAATAAATAATAAATACACTTTGTTAATGAAAAAGGCTATTTATATATTTTTACATGTATTTATTCATTTATTAGCATATTTCTACAGTTATATATGTCAATGCATTCATTTCCACATTAATTGAGTTATTAATTTATTTTTGTATTTTTACATTTACACATCTATTTATTTCAGTCGTAAGAGGAAAAGTATATATGTAAATTTGCTTCTGTCTGTTTTTCAAAATTGAGCAATCCTACTTCAGCAATGTTAGAACGGCCCACTTAATTTACATATTTACTTTTCCTTGTACAACATGGACACAGAAATACATAAATAAATGTATGAATATATTTGTTTATATATTAATTTTTATATGAATTGTTGCATTTATTTATATATATTTATTGATGCATTTATTAAATTATTAATTTATTTATACATTATAGTATGCATTTCCCCCAACATTTATTCATTCATTTATTTAGACTTTAGTCATTTTTTGTCCCTCATATCAGAGTAGCTCCTGACCATAGATCGTAAATAGCTCCAGGCCAGCAGAGGGCGAGCTTACCGAATGTACGGCTGCACCGCAACATAGCTTTTCAAATAGATCGGTCGCATTTATTGTATCCATTTCGGTATCTGGCGCATGCTTAGTATAGAATCCGACACATCGGCGCTGCCAGCCTTCTGTCTGACATTACAGACAGCGTCTATGTGAGTGTATTTCTATGTGCGGCGACCCGGAGCTTTCATCGGGGTCAAACAGGCATCCAGACGTTTTCAGGAAGCAAAAGTGGGGAGGAGTTGGGGCTAACATTTGTTGTTGTTGTCACCTGGGCTGAATCCAGACAGCTACCTGTCTGAAAGACTGTCTAGTCAGCGGACCGGCGGAGTGTTTTCTCGGTGTAGTTTTAAGTCTTCTCCCCAGCGGATGAATGGCAATGACGGCAGTGAGAGCGGTGGCAGCGGGGGGCCCGGCGTCTTTGTCCCGGTTTAGAGGAGCGCTAGTGGCGGCTGTGCTGGGAGACTGTGTCGGTGGGGAGTTTGAAGGAGCAGAGGAGGTTCCCATGGAGAGTGTGCTGCAGCATCTTAACAGCCTGGACGACGAGACCAAAGGAAATGGTCAGAGAAAGCAGAAAGAGAAAGGCTATAATACCAGATTAGTCCACTGCGATGCGGATGGGGAGTGGTGGGATTTACATGCAGTTACATGCTAATCGCTAATATTTAACCTACTTTACTCTTCTCCTATGTGGGTTAGGGTTTAGCCTGAAAGGTCTAAAACCACATTATCAGTTAAGTGGGTGACCAACCTTTAGATTATTAAAACAATGTGTTTATTCTGAATGACTCACATCAATAACTCTATAAGGTATTGCAATATGATAAGAAATGTTGACATAACGTACTAATACTAAAAATCTCTAATCTACAGACAAAACTAGAGCCCGACTGATTATTTTAATTGGCCTTTTGTCCTATCACCAATATATCAGTGGAGGCCTCATGGGTGCCAATTTATAGACCTTAGTTCAAAATCTGTGCAGAATCCCTGTAGAAAGTGTTAATATTGAATCTTCATCTTCCTGTGTGTGTAAGGTGTCCTGGAGTACAGTGATGACACGGCTATGGCACGCTGTGTGGTCCAGTCTCTACTCACTCGTACAGGCTTTGATGAGCAGGACATGGCTCGCAGGTAGGAGAGCTTCTTTGTACAGTTTAAGTGTATATATTCTCATTAAGGCTTGTGTTAGCACTTAAAAACACACAGATTGAAACCCTGATGTCTCACCACTCTAGGTTTGCCAAGGAGTACAGTGCATCCCCAGGTCGTGGTTATGGTTCTGGAGTGATCCAGGTGTTGAAGAAGCTGTCCTCCCCTCAGCTCAGCGATGTGTACCAGCCAGCCAGGGACCAATTTAATGGTCGAGGCTCCTTTGGGAATGGGGGTGCCATGAGGGCGGCCCCCTTCGCACTGGCTTTCCCTGACCTGGATGATGTCAAAAGGGTGAGAGTGGCTTCAAATCATCCACCTCTATTGTGTTGTTTCACTTTCACATCTTTTGACCTGAAAGGTTAGACGTCATTTTTGTAACCAGTGAACAAAGAATTTACACATCTTTTGGAAAATGTCTGTAAGCATTTTTTTCTCTTTCACATTTTCCAACTATAAAAGAATAAATGTAGTTTTGTAACTAGTGAATTATGAGCTTACCGTTTTGGGGGGGGAAGTTTAGTTGTGTGTCACACTGCATAATTAGAAGTTCAACAGTTTCAAACACAGGTGCCTTTATTTATTTAGATAGGACAGTGAGGCAAGAGTAAGAAATCTGGGATAGAGAGTGGGGAATGACATTTGGCAAAGGAGCTGCAGGCCGGGCTTGAAGCCGGGCGACCCGCTTGGAGGACTATAGCATCCATGTATAGGATGGGACATGACCCCTAGGCCATCACAGGAACGGGGCACTAAAAAATAATTCACTTGCCCGAAGATTAATGTGTTGCTAGACCAAGTAACCTTAGCTGGACTTAAGACTTTTTTTCAGCATTTTCTCTAAAAAAAGTTTCAAGTTATAGGAATTGCATTTTCATCTCTGCAGTCAACAGTTTTATCTTTGTAATTATTTCAACTTTTCAATATCTTGAGTAAAACTAGCTCAGTAAATTAAAATACATCACTAATGACTGACAGGTTAATTTATTTGTTTTTTGTTTTCTCTCCAGTTCGCCCACCTTGGTGCCATGCTAACCCATTCCTGCTCTCTGGGATACAATGGAGCCGTGCTGCAGGCATTAGCTGTTCACCTTTCCCTGCAGGGGGCGTTAGACCTTCCTCAGCAGTTCATCAGCCGCCTGATCACAGAAATGGAGGAGGTGGAGGCCAACGAGGCAACACGCAACGATGCCAGAATGTGAGTACTTCAGAAATCAAGCCTGGCTTCCTCATTGCTGCTGTACAAATCAGTTTTTATTGAACATTTTTCTAGCTGAATTATCTGTAGAAGTATCCTCATCTTTAAAATTAAAGCACCTGGTAATTAAAATTGGTCAAACACTCAATGAAGTAGTGGCAACCATAAAATGATTCTCTGACTGTGTTTGGTAGAACCATGCACCTTCGTTTGCTTCTGTTTACTTCCAGATGTTCAATGACTAAACCCCTTCCATCTGTTTGATCTATATAGTATTAAAAAAACATTTTCAGGAAACGATTAAGAATGTATACACATCCTTTGACAGATATTATGAAATGTGTCTGTTGGAGTGTTGTTCTGAATGTCTTACTTTATTTTGTACTTTGTGTTTTTTTGTGCAGCCTTAAAGAAGCAGAGAAGCCGTTCTGTGAGCGCCTCCACAGGGTGAGAGACCTGATGGGAAAGAGCAAGGTCAGCATAGAGGAGGTCATTAATGAGCTAGGTCAGTATCTGGTTATCTTCATCCTGACTTTTTCATCAGGCTTTTTTTTTTTTCTTCCATCCATCCATCCATCACTGCCCTGTTGGGTTTTTCTGACAAAACTTTCTGTCTTTTCTTCCAGGTAACGGCATAGCAGCTCTCCACTCAGTTCCGACCGCCATCTTCTGCGTCCTCCACTGCCTGGAGCCGAGGGAATGCCTTCCAGAGAGCTACGGCGGTGTTGAGAGGACAATAGCATACAGCCTGGCCCTGGGAGGGGACACAGACACCATAGCATGTATGGCGGGGGCCATCGCCGGGGCCCACTATGGCATCGAGGCTATCCCACAGTCGTGGATAAAGTGCTGCGAGGGGGCGGAGGACGCACACGAGGATGCAAAACGACTTAAAATGCTGTTCCTCCAGTCGTCACAAGGCGGAGGGATCGGGAAGGGGGAACGGAGCGGAGAGGACTCATCCGAAAGGCGGTCAAAGGCTTCTAACGGCACAGAAAAGAAAACCGAAGCCGACTGATTCTATAGCTGGAGTTTGACAAAAGGACCCTTGAACACAAACCCCAATTACACACAGACACACACTCTGTTACCAGGGAACCTTTTATCTAGAACAATCAACTCAACAGTAAGTTATTTTATTTGTCTAAACAGCTCATAGGCTTTTCCTTTCCATAAATGTATCAACATGTGATGAAATAAAACAAATCCCCTTCTGTTAGAAAACAGAATATTGAAGCTGAACAAGCTAAAAACATCCGAGTGACAACAGACAGAGAAGAGTGACAGTTTGATAACTATCACAGATCCTATACTTTATATTCACAGTACATTATGCACACACACAAACGCTGACTTCTCTCATGCCTGTGCTCCATTCCTTTTCTTGTGTTGAACCATCTTTTGTCATGTGAAAGTTGCACTATGAATTGGCCATGTCTTGTTCTATCCTTTTGGATAACAATTATTTAATAAACTTTTTTTTTTAATCCACATTTTCTGTTTTAATGATCATTTATTTAAATTCAAGATCCAAAAAGGAGGAGGGGTTCAGCTCAATTGAGATGTTTTAGACGTTTTGGAATTTTGACTAAAGGTGAAGTAGTAAGTGTACAACTTCTGACTCATTCTCGGCTCATCTCTGCAAAGTTTTCAACTCAATACACTGTCTTACCTGAATAAAGGCTTAAAATTAAAATTAAAATCTAGCTCTTCTAGACTTTACCATAGGCTGTATGTAAATATAGAAATTAAATGTGTAATGCCAACGCACCAACATGATCCCAATCTTTGTTTTACATGTTGTCAGCTCACAATGTGTTGATCTGTTTTGAACACAAAGTGCAGCTGGGTACAGATGGGTTTCAGTTTCACAAGAATAAAATTAAAAACTGAAGAACTGAACGTGCTGAAATTTTGGCACAGACAGAACAGTTAATCAATAACAAATGAGGTTGTGCCAATTGCATCGGTCCAACATTTTAAAAAACAAGCTGTATTTCCTTTGATACAGTCTCCTGAAGCACAGTTATTGATGTAATATATTTGATTATTTCACACATTTCTTTAACTGAAACATGTTTTATTTGAAATTGCTACAGGCAGAAAAGCTTCTTTTGACATAGTTGTTGTGACGGATCCACTCAGAGTTACTACAGTGTAACATGGAGTGCTTGTGATGTCAGTGAGTTTGTTGCACAGCAGCATTTTCATGACAGAAGCTCCTGTCATGGTGCATTCTCTTCTTGTTTCCCTAAAATCAGAATGTCTATCTATTCAAGGAGCAACATTTAAAGGTGTTTACCAAGTATGCCATTTTCATATATCTTAAATCTTGAATCGATTGCAACAAATATCTATTACAAAAAAAACAATAGACACAACACAGACAGAAACGTTTGATTTCACAAATAAAATGTAGCTTCTTTCCACGTGATCCTTGAAATTAAAAACAAAGCCTTTATGTAACACCAAACTTATCAATACTTATTGAAGCACTCTCCAGGCAGATTGTGGTTACCTGCACTCTTCTGCCACTGTTATAACTGTGCGCCCTGTAATAGTAGAAATGGGAGGTAGTTAGCCAAACCCAGGTGCACTTGAAAAGTAATAAAACTGAAAAAACTCCTTATTTTTTTGATTTTTCTGCCCAAATCAAAGGTTTTTCTCTGCTGGGGCAACCTCTAAGAACAGCTGCAGGAACACAGTTAACTTTGTGAGCAGTCCTGGGCAGAGCTTGTAACGGATGAACGGTACGTATAATATAGCACCACTTAAGACAAACAAAGCTACATAGAGGTATTCAATCTGAGGGTCGTCTATGATAGGGGCCAGCACCAGGAATACTGCTGCGATGAGGACCAATATGGGGAGGATAATCGGCACCTATGGAGAGATGAAGAGACACACACAGACTGAGTCTCACCCTGTTAACAAATTAAAAATCTTTGTGTTTCATGATGGTGTTTCATGATGGTGTTGTGAGAGAGTGTGTGTGTGTGACACAGACCTTATACGGCCTCGGGAGCTCTGGCTTCTTAATCTTGAGATAGAGAAGTCCCGACAGGGTGATGGCGTAGAAAAACCAAGCAGTGAAACTAACATCACAAATAAGAGGAATGTCAAACATGTAAATATTTTTTTTACAACTAATACATACAGAAATCATTACAAATAAGGTTATACAAAGAAGACTGGGCTTTCACCTGAAGAAGTTGACAATACTCTGAAAGTCTCCTGGGATCAGCACGATGAGAGAGACGATGGTTGTGAAGATCAGGGCTGGAGACGGAGTCAGTCTGCGGACGTGAGCCATAGCCAGAATATCTGGCTACAAAAAGAAACACGAGTCAGGGTGAATCTCTGAATTCTTATACTGCACAATTACACAATATATCGTACTGTGTTTCCTCATACAGTGAGCAAGAGATTTTTTATTTATTTACCTCAACTGCAGAGGGAACAAAGCCTTTAGTTAAAGGTGTTGCTTTGAGAGTTTTCCATTGTAAAAACTATTTCTTCCTTCATCTGTTTCATATTTAAAGTCCTCTAGAGTTTCACCCATAGACTGTTTGAAACATGGACATTATGTCAGGGATGTCACCCACTGGCCTCTGAAGAGGTGTTTCATATAGACCAACAATGGTGGTTGGCATGTTGGAAATATCTAGCTCTAACTTTGGATCAGTATAACAAAAGGGAAAGGGGTGGAGAGGAAGAAGGCTTTTAGCATCCTGGCAGACAGCTACGACGCGCCTACCTGGCAGTCAAATCATCCACGCTCCCTAATTATGGGTTAGGGCTGAAATATCACCAAAATGGATGGGTTTTTGAAGAAAATCACTCCCTGTACAGTTTTACCAATACAGAAATTAGCTATTCAGTCACTAAACATTTTGAACCAGGCTGTAGGAGCGTATTTCTGCTGTAAAAGGCGACATTTTAACATGGGATCAAACAGGGATCCGTGGTTTTTGAAGGAAGCATTAAGTAGACACACTGGGAAATGCCCTTCCACATTGGCCTCATTTTTCCGCACCAGAGGTTGCTGCTAAGTTTCAATGTAAAGAATCATTTAATTTCTTATCAAATGTAGCTACTGCTACTTAAAGACATGTTACAAAAAGCAACCTTTTGGAATTTAACATTTTTCCCCCCTGTGTTTTTCCTCCCACAGGCTTTTTAAGACTGACCCTTCATTTGTTAATTTGAACACTATTTGTTGGCCTTACTTTTCTTTTTGGACCACCAGCTAGTATTTGAGGAAACACAGTATAATCATAAGGAGGAGGAATCTCACCATATGTCCTTCCCTGGCAGCAACGAAGCACACACGGCCACCGCTGAAGAACGTACCATTCAAGGAACCGAAAGCAGAAAGTGCTGCAGCCAATGACATGATCCAGCCCCAGCTGCCTAACACCTTATTCCTGTTGAAACATTTTAACATGCTCACAAATACTCCCACATAGTCATTTCCAACTTTTAAAATCCACTTCGGCTATCTAATTAGTTTTTCCTTCCCCGCTGAACATAATTTTTAGTGATTTCAAATTTGTGTCTTTTCTGTTTGTTAACAGTGCAAATAAGTATTTAATAACCTACCTGCATGGTACAGTCTTTTGATTTGCTCTTATTGTAGGCCAGTGACAGATGTGATTTAAGGGTAACTCACTTATTCAAAAATCAAAATAACTATGAATTTATTCACATAATAATACAACATTTTTTATTATAAAATTGCAACTTCATTCTGGTAATATTCTGATTTTAATCTCTTCCACTTCGTTTTCATAATATTACAACTTTATTCTTGAAATCTCTGACACTTTTCTTTAAAGTGGCCTTCATATTCCATTAAAAATAAAAATTCTGAAAATGTAAGACGCTAACCATTTTGCTAAGAATATTTATTCGGATTAAGATCATGCTACATCACACTTCGATTGACATTCGCTGGCTGTAGGACACAGCATGGGGGCATGTGAAAGACAGCATGGTGAAGGTTTGTTGTTGGATCTCTCAGATTTAGAATATAAAGAAGAATCTCTGTCATCTGACCATTATTCAATTTAATTGGTCACTAAATGGTTAGTTAAGAAATGCTTTGCAACTCATATTACTCCTGAGGGTAAGAGTTAGCACACACAGTTAGCAATGTTAGCTTAGATGCTACTTTGGTGTTGTAAGCATCAGGCTTTGCAAACTTCTTACATAGTTAGAAGGCTATTTGGTTTTAGGTTTGCTGTCTGCTTTAATATCAGAAGAGTCTTGTCTACATGTCTACCAAGTCCCTGATCGTTCTGCCTGAACCTGTGATGTAAACATCAGGCGTAGTCTTACCCCCAGGTCACTGCTACTGCAGTGGAAGACATGAGCTCTTTAGGCGTCATTACTGTCAGGTAGCTCACATTCACCAGCAGATACAAACCAGTCACCAGGGAAATGGCTATTATTACCGCCCGGGGAAGATTCACCTGGAAGAAAAAAAGGCAAAAGGCAAAATCGTTCATATATTTTAGCCAATATGTACCCACTTGCATGATGGATGTTTGATAGAGTCACCCTTGTGTAACGGATTGAGCCAGGAGTCAGGTCAAGTAGAATGAAATAATAAAAACTTGGACTGAATAACACAACCTTTACTTGAGCATGCCAATGATTAATTACATCCAACCATCTTCAAAAATGTATTAAAAGATCTTTCAAGTAAATATTCCATTTATTTGAATGTTTCCTAGTTCTCCATACAAAAGGTTATGACCTGTATAATACAGCACTTTCCTTAAAAGGTGTTTTAGTCTATTATGATATAACATATTGTATATTATATCTGTTGTGTATGTTTATAACACTTACAGCTATATATTTTTAACTCCATGAAAAAGCCTGACAAGGGGCAATTAGTTACAATCTTAAGAACATTTTGTAGATGTTGAACTGCATCGCCTGCAAAAAGAGATTAATCAATATAAAAGATAACTAAGTCAAAAGTTAAAGAGCTTACATTTTAGCAAAAGGGGATTTTAGGTGCATAATGAACTCTGTTTGTAAAGTCTGTCAGTAATATTCTGCACAGTAGATGCAAACATTTTAGATCAACCACTGTTGTTTAAAACATTAAGCTGACGATACTGTAACTTCTGAATTTCAGTAAAAGTAAGCGCTATCTTGAAAATGTTTAACAAATGTCAAGTATCATGAAAAGCTTTATGTCCCATTTCTTATGAAGTATCTAATTCCCACAACAAGGCGGTTAGTAGATCACAATATTTTAAAGCAGAGTCTTAATGCATTTGCAATTTATATTTGGAAAGATGTCTAAAATTAAATTTAGTGTAGTTTATTATTTCTTCAACTTCTAGCAGGTAGCATAAATTCCCTGGTACACCTCTACAGTCAGTGTTTGTATTTAATTCACTAAACTATACCTGGAAGAGTTTGCTTGCCTTGAAGAAGCTTTGTGTTGTCATTATTTTACAATTGTTGAAATGTATTTTTGTGATCTTTCAACTGCTGCTTGTTGATATAACTTTATGTTCTACTATCTCTGCACACATGATAACAACACTGGCGGTGAAACACCTTCATCAGTGAGATAAGAGCACAATTGCGGCAATTAAAATGTTTTCTTCTTTAAATTCAACCCTGAGTATTTATATGTTACGTTGCAATGACACTTCAGTTAGAGAATAATTTCAGCATTTTAACTTCAGTTCAGAACTCGTAGACAGTCAATAGATTGATCAATTATTGACATTACAAACCCAGCATTTAGCATTAAAGCCACAACCTTTTTAATCCTCCCGGTTTGGCATGAAGAAATGTGCCATGTCAGGTCACGAAAGGGACATTTTTTTTTGGCAAAGAAATCTTTTGTGGACACAAACATGTAAAATCCAGCTTCTCACAGTCTCACCTCTGGTCTTTTGAGCTCTTCAGTTACATAGTTCAGGTTGTACCATCCAGCATAAGACCATAAACCTTGATAAAAAGCCATTCCTAGAGTGCTCAAAGAGTACCGAGTGCCTTTAAAAGCGTTCTCAACTTTTAGATTTTCCACAATGACATTGTTGTTCTGTATGGCCTTCACTATGCCTCCAATTATAATAAAAGTCAACGCTAGCACCTTGGCCACCAAGAAGACCACCTGGATCTTAATGGCCACACGGACATTTAAGACGTTTACAAAGGCAACAACCAGAATAGCCACAGCTGCAGCACACTTCACTACGATCTGAGGAGGAAGGCAATCTGTATAAAAAGGTGCTGTGACATACTCTGCAATGCTTATTGCCATAGCTGCAATGCCGAATGGCCTCACAACCAGGATGAAAGTGATCGCAGCAAAGAAGGCAGGGCATGGTCCATAGATCCTCAAGATGTAGATGAAGTCCCCACCAGATTCAGAAATGATGGTCCCAATCTCGGTGTAGCACAGGGCTGCAGTCATGGCTACAACTCCTGCAAGAGCCCAGATCACCAGACTCGCACCAGGGCTTCCCACATAGCCCAGTACAAACTGTGGTGACATGAATATACCAGATCCAATCATAGTTCCTGAAACAAGTGCTACACCGCCAATCAGCCCTATTTCCCGTTTCATTTTCAGGGCTTCGGGTTCTTTGTCAGCCATGGCGACGTTAATCAACAAGCACAAGATGAAGATACTGTAGTTGTTTTTCACCCTGACAGTGGAAGCACCCAGGAATAAGAAAGATAAGGAAGACGATACAAATCTAAATACTGTAATAAACTATTTTTGAAAAAGTTACTGGCCAAGAGGCACTAAAAGAGCCTCATAAAAAAACATGTTAAATATTAACATATACTGTATACTTGATATGATCTGTATATCCCTACTTTCTGAACATGTTCACTCGTATGGACTGCAGTTTTTCTCAAACATCTGCCTTTGTACTCGTTGTGATCTACTGTCCAGCATTGCTTTTAGATGTAACCTAAAGAATATCGATTACTTGTTTTATTCAGTTACTGATTGTTTACCAAATGTAAACAATAAGCATTATATGATGAACCACAGTCTTTGCAGATAGTAAGTACTTGATTGCAGAGTAAAAGTAGACATATATCAATCAAACAGCATCACTGTATTTTGATCATTCGTTGAAAGTAAACGGGGAAATTCTTACTTCTGGATGTTTCAACTCCTCAGTTAAATAATTCAGAGTGTTCCAGCCATCATAGGACCACAGGCCCTGGTAGAAAGCAATTCCAATTGAGCTGACACCAGTATTTGTTCCCTTGAAAGAGTTATCAAAATTTTCATTGTGTCCCTGGAAAAGCATCACAATACCTCCCATTATGATCACCGCCATTGTCAGCACTTTGACAGCCATGGAAACCACCTGGATGATGGTGGCCAAGCGGACACTGAGACAGTTCACTATGGCCAGCACCAGGATACTCCCTGCAGCCACGCACTTCACCACCAGTGTCGGAGGGGTACAGCCATTGTAAAAGGGGGCCACCACATATTCTGCAAAGCTCAGGGCAATTCCTGTGGCACTGGCAGGTCTCATGACAATGACGAAGCTGAAGACAAAAGTGAAGGCCAGCACCCTCCCAGACGTCCGCAGGATGTAGATGAACTCTCCTCCAGACTCTGGTATCACTGTTCCCAGTTCAGCATAGCAGAGCCCCCCAAGCATGGCAATTATCCCACAGCAGGCCCATATAATAAGGCTGGCCCCAGGACTGCCTATAGTCATTAGAACATACTGGGGGGAGATGAAGATCCCAGAGCCCATCATGGTTCCAGCGATGAATGAGACAGCCCCAACTATCCCCACTTCTCTCTTCAAATTGAGTCCTTGTCTGTCACTCTCCATTGTCTGAGGATATCTGCTTCTTTGAAGAAAACTGGACATGCAGGGAGCTGACTAAAGATTAACAATTAACTGTTGGGTAACATTAGAGCCATGTCCTCAATAAAAGGCTAAATCACCCTTCAACAGCCGCTAAACAAGGCGTGCTTGTCATAATGGTAAACATTCATTTTTCCTTCTCAAAGATATGACACTCTTGACCACATCACTGCAGACACCCCATCAATAAACCTGTAAATCTCTATCTTATTCGTCTCGTCTCGACTCGTGAGCAAGAGTATCCTAAGATATCTGAACTCCTTCACCTGAGCTTCACCTTGGTTAACTAGGTTTCCATACCCAACGTGATACCTTTATGTCAATATTACAGAACCTACAGCAGTTTTTAGTCCAGCTACACAAGTACCACAAAGAATGTCTCCGCTATTCAGCTCCTTACAGTGGCTCCCAGTTACTGCTCACATCAGATTTAAAACTCTGCTGCTCGCTTACAAAACAGCGACAAAACTCCTCCTTACTTTAACTCTCTGATCCAGGTCTACACTCCCTCCCGCCCACTACGCTCTGCCAATGAAAGGCGTCTGATCCAACCTTCACAACAGGGTCCTAAGTCTCTGACTAGACTCTTCTCCTCTGTTGCCCCCCCGGTGGTGGGGCAACAGAGTCCCTCTGCACCTTTAAGAAAAAGCTAAAGACCCAGCTCTTTCATGAATACCTACTAACTTAATGATGATGGTCTCCATATTATTGATGATGATGATGGTAATGACGATGGTTTTTGTTTGATAACGATGACTTATAAGATGGTTTCTATACTGATTAGAGCTCTCAAGAACTGCCGTCAATGTTGTGCTTTGCCTCTGGTCACTTCCTGTCAGCACCTGTGTGTCCAATCAGACTCAAAGCTGATCATTTGCTCTTACTGACATTGTTCCCTTTTTTCTAGATCCTTGCTTGTGTTGTACTTACTCTCTGATGTACGTCGCTTTGGATAAAAGCGTCTGCTAAGTGAGTTGTAGAATTGTAGAATGTGGCAATGGCCCAAGACAACCCAGAAGATACAGTTGCTCAAGTCCTCAAATCACCTGACTAGATGGGTAAACTCCAATATCCTTTGTAGCTTTGCGAGAAGAAAGTTATGGTCCACTGGTGAATTACCATGAAGAGTCAGCAATTGTGGCAGCATTGAGATGTTTAGAACCTGCCTCACAGCAAGTCAGTTCTCGGATCAAATTTCTTTCAGTGTAGAGTTTGCATTTTCTCTATGCATGCTTTGGTTCTCACTAGGACCTAGAGCTACCCTGTGCACCTAGAGCTTTTTCTAATTTAACTGGTCACTCAAAATGTGTCAGCACTCTGATTGAGTGGTAACCTGTCCGGCGCATGCCTTGCCTCTCTCCCAATGTCAGCTTGGATTAGCTCTTGTCCACCCCAAATAAATGAATCATTAATAAAAAAAATATTTTCTAGCACCCTGCTATAAATGTCCTCAGGAAGACTGAACAGTGCTATGCTCCCACGACCACATGGTCCCATAATAACTAGTGCATAACTATGCACCAGAATAAGAAAGTGAACTAATGAACTATCAATTACATTAACTGATCAAATAAAAAGTAACAACATTTGATTAACAAAGAGTCCCTAATGAAAGTGATGAAAGAGTTCTGTTGGCCTGAAACAGCAGGTCACGTCGTAAAGAAACCTCCTAGAGTTACTTCTTACAAGTTTACATGTGGCCGGTTTAACCAGGGAAGGTGGCATAACAGGGACTGCTGAAGTGACAGCGTTTATTAGGCATATTAAATACCATCATGGGGTTTTTCAAGCAGATTCTCAGTTTGCTCACTCTTCCTGCAGCACGCACACAACCAGTTTTGGATAGTTGCAGCAGTTACTAAAGTCCCCTTTAGTAATAGCAATCGTGGGAAGATATGAAATTCACATACATTTATTACTTTTTTGGTTTAACAGCAAATGAACAGGCATAATGCCGCAGATGATCAAGAGCAAAACTTACTCCGTTTGGTTAAGAAACCTGATGGAGGACAGAATACTGACCTTAAAATATTACAAGTGTTGTCAAGACAAGGCGGCAACCTCCAATATTTTGGTCCAGACGAATCATTTCTTTCTTGGTACACACTGCACAGGGGTGGTTGTTTTTTTATAAATCATCCATTTTAATCATATGAAGGCCAAAAGTTATGCATACTTTTTCATGCGCATCTACTACACCTCAGCATGGGGTCGTATTCACAAAGAGCTGCTTTAGTGACAAAATTTTAAGAAAATTCTTAGAATCAGGAAATAATTTTCCCTCAAAGTTAGGACTAGATCCTTGTAAAGATAAAAGTTATTCACAAAGTGTCTTAGCCCTGAAGAGAGCTCCTAAGGTGTAAAACTGTGAGGAGGACTTTTAACAGGATGAAGAGTTTCTCAAGCTGCGGAGAAATGTTCTCCAAACACCCCTTGTTGTCTCCTCCTCACTGTTATTCTATGGCCAATAGTCATACTTTATAACATGTTGATAGTAGTTTGAAAAGTGTGAACAATAATTGAATTGAATCATCTCTGTGTGGGTGGTCTGGTGGTTTCAATTATTCACTTGGTAGCTATAAACATTAATCCATCATCTATGCATCACTGTCTTCGACCTCTGAAGATACTTTTATTACTTTATTGTTTTAGTGTGGTGGTCAGGTGGACGATGTCGACCAGCTTTCCTCTTCTTGGTTACTCAATAACTCCTTCGGTGCAATAACACTAAATCCCCACATACCCTTTCACCTACCTCTGGACGTTTTAGCTCTTCAGTGACATAATTGAGGTTGTTCCAGCCATCATAGGACCAGAGTCCCTGGTAGAAAGCAATACCAATTGGATTGATGCCAACATTGGTGTTTTCAAAGGAGTCCTCGAAGGTCTCAGTGTGACCTCTGATAAGCATCACCACACCTCCCACTATGATGACAGCCAGGGACAGAATCTTGGCTACCATGAAAAACACTTGGAGTGACATGGAGAGGCGTACATTGAGGCAGTTCACAATGGCGAGCACCAAAATGGCAGCAGCAGCCACACACTTCACCACCAGTACTGGAGGCAGGCAGTCTGAATAGAAAGGGGCCACGACATACTGGGCAAATCCCAGTGCCACGCTAGCAACACCGGCAGGTCTCACAAATAGGACAGAGCTGAAGATTAACATAAAGGCGACGACTGGACCGGAAGTCCTGAGGATGTAGATGTACTCCCCCCCAGATTCTGTTATGACGGTGCCCAGCTCAGCGTAGCAGAAAGAGATCATTATCACCAGTACACCACAGGCGGCCCACACTACTAGGCTGGCTCCGGGGCTGCCAATGGTGGACAGCACAGTCTGCGGGGTCATGAAGATCCCAGATCCAATCATCGTCCCTGCGATGAGGGAAACGGCTCCCATCAGACCTACTTCCCGCTTCAGGGTGAGCTTCTGCGTCTTGTCCTCCATGATCACAGCAGAGTGTCTGCTGTCAAACAACCTTTTCCAACAGAGTCACTCTGTAGCAACTCAGGGAGTTAATAATTATGTGCTTTGCTCACACAATGGACAGTTTTATTAGCCTGTTTTCCCTTATCTTTTTAGAATCTGGGTTAGCCGTAATCTTTTTGGCTCTGCTACCTTTGGTTTTTAAAAAAAGTTCAAAGGCGCAGTCCACCCAGGTAAGCTGGGCTCTGAAACCTAGAAGTGAGACCTCAAAGATCCTCTAACTCTATTCTCCTGCTTTACAATCTTTGTTATTTTTGTGCTTTTTAAGTCTGTATTTGACAATGAAATTGAATAATATTCATGGAGATTGCATCATGGACATCATGGATGGCTTGCCTGAACAACACCCCCCACACCCCCTTGCTCCATATCCCTCTTCCTGCATTTTATCCCATCTCTCCCCCTATCCCTTTTCAAGCCCGGCGCAGTCTAGGCCTGTGAAGACTGTTTCGTCATGAGCCGGGGATCCGGCTGAAGATTTCTGCCTTTTAATAAGGCAGTTTTTTCTTACCACTGTAACTTTTGCTGCTTTGCTAAAGTGCTCATGATGGATAGGCCGGGTCTTTGAAATATAACAATGAGTAAGGTCTTTTACCTGCTTTTTGTAACATAACAATGAGTAAGGTCTTTTACCTGCTCTTTTGTAATGTTAACAGACAAAGAGTAAGGTCTTTTACCTGTTTCCTGTAACATAACAATGAGTATGGTCTATTACCTGCTTTTTGTAAAGTGTCTCGAGATAACACTTGTTATGAGTTGATGCTATACAAATAAAAATTGATTGATTGATCACTATAATGTCATAAGAAGAATTACATCATAGGAGGACTTTGTCTGCACCTGAATGGCTTTTTAAATACTCTCTGTGTAGCATCGGGTATTGGGGTAACAGTTCAGCCTTTAAGTACTCTGATGGTACAAATAGTACTTAGGTACAGCAGAGTTTGCACAAAGGTGGTCCTATAACAACCTGGTGGTTATTCAGTGTAGTTCTCCTTTGAGTGAGGACACCAATAGTTTCTGCTTCATTGCTATTGAAGACGGTTGTATGTTTAGTGACACATGGCGTCCAGGGAATATACCATTGAAAACCGCACAGTGCAGATAACATCACCATTACAAATTTGGGTTATTTATGTATTTTGTATTTAAATGTATTTTTTTTCCCCGCTTAAATATCATATTCCTGTATTTCTTTTGGATCTCTTTATTTTATTTGATATGTTCATATTTAATCTTCTCTGTGATTGTTAGTTGTTTGTTGTAGTGATTTTGTTCTATGATCTATTTGAATGTTTCTCTCTCTCTGTCTGTCTTGATGCTCTTGCTGTCATGTGTGATGCACTTTGAATTGCCTTGTTGCTGACATATGCTATTGAATTTAATTTGACTTGACTTTCATAAAGCACATTTATTTTCATGTTTTGTGTTATTTTTCCATAAATAGTTCATCTAAAATAAAGATCATCATGAGGGAAAATTACTTCTTTTAGATTGGTTTTAGAATTGGGCAATACAATATTTTAAAAATGATTCCAGTACAAATCAACCAACACTGATACATGTTTCAATAACATGGCTGCAAAAAGAGAATTCCTTGTGCAGCCAATATTTTTCATTTTTTATAAATGACCAAACTTTAGGCAAAACACTTTCTAAATAGCACAAATGTGTATTACATTAACAGATTGGTTTTAGAATTACTAAAAAAACCCACTAAATTTTCAAGTCTCATATTCGGTAGGACAAGATACAAAAAAGTGTAAAAACCTTCATTATTTTTTTCACTTTTAGGAAAAGTATAGATAGAACTAAGAATAGTATCCAACAATAGAGAAGATAAGATAATGTGTTAACATGTACAATTACATGGAATTGAAATAGAAAGCAGAGTCATAACAACTTATTCCAGTAACCACCCACAACTTATCAAAACAAGGTTTTATCATCTCCTCGCTTTGTGTCTTGAGGTTAGTTTCTATTTACAGCAACTCAAAAATGTCTCTGTCCTCCTGTATGTGAGAACGACAGTCTGAATATGACGGAGAGCTTCTTTATCCTCATTTTAAAGATGAATATAGTTCAAATATATAACCAGTATGTACTCTGATATTTGGGTATCATGGCAATTAAATATTATACACCTGCATTCAACGTCTTTCCTGATACTCAATCTGAGGGAAACATCTACCACTGTTGACTCTTTAATTATGCCATATGTTCATCAGGAGGCTTTTTCCTCACCCCCTGTGATAAAGAGGTGAACAGGCTTGTTGGAGTGCAGCATCTGTCCGGCTCTCTGGGCTCCGGTGATCGCGGCTAACTTTTGGGCATCATAGCGGGAGTAGAGTGCAGTGCAGGTCCAGCTGGCACTCTCCCCCTGATCACCTGTTGCCAGCATGTTACACACCTCGCTGTAGAAGTGGGGGAAGGAGGGCAGTCCATAAAAGATCAGGTTCTGGATCCCTTTAATGGCGTACCTACACAAGAAGTCAGAGATCAGGATTTCTGCAGGGCTCATGATCGAATGAGTTACAAATGTTTAAAAAATGGGGCCTTGTGTTTTTCATATTTTACAGTCTAAATGACAGATGGGTATAAAGGATTTTAGTATTACTCCAGTAAATTTCAGTTGGCAGGAGCTAGAAAGGTTAAAAGTGCTTCAACATAAACTTTTTTGGCTTCACAGAAGCCCATCTAATAAAATTGCTTGTTTAGAGAAACATTTAAGGTTTTTCCTATGGAACACCTCAGTGCTAAATTAAAGGGCAATGACAACCTATTTTATAATATTTGGCAACCCTTCATAGATTATCTTGCCACTGATCTGGTTGGCTTATTGCAGAAAGGGTGCCCACACTTTTGTTTTTCCCTTTGACATGTAATTTAGGTAGATAAGCCTGTATCTTATGAATGTTTCATGTCATGTACGTCTTTGTAACCTGCTACTGGATGCTTTGAATTTCCCTCGGGATCAATAAAGTATCTATCTATCTCTCTATCTGATATGATATATGTTATTACAACCCATGCATGTTATTATTGGGGTTTTTTCTTCACTAATTTGGCTACGTCTGTGCTGTCTTGTTCTGTGTTTGTTATGTGAAAAATGAATATATATATATATATATATAAAATAAATTGCTCATTTTCTGGCACTGCCAGGCGTCTACCATTATATAAACAGTGTTTGAAAATGTGTTGTAAACTATAGTCACAGTTAGTTCCCTACAGATACTTTTTTAAAGTTAAGATGCATTTTTTTTAAAGAACTGACCTCTTGTAGAAGTGGAAGCGTTCAGTAAAGAGCAGGAACTGTTTGTCTCCTTTCTGGAAGAAGTGTCTTGCTCGGGACACCTCCGACTTGCTGGAATACTCGCAGATGCTGGTGAAGTTGATCTCCTCCTTCTTCATGAAGTTGCGGACGCGGACGTAGTCGAAGTAAGACGGGATGTAGATGAGAGTGTGGGACATTACAGAGTCCCTGTACTGAGGCAGCACCTTATCTAAGAAGAACTGAAACCTACAGGTTCAGTGAGACAGAACAGAAAAATGGTTTTAGAAGCAGCCATGCGTTTGTCAAGATCTCTTGAGCTGCTGCATATACTGTGACCTGTTTTTTAATCTAGACAAAAAATCTATTAATAAAACACAGAGGAGGAGACTAAGCCAGTGTGCTTTTTTACAACAACAACAAAAATAGTTGCATAGGGAAAAAAAAGAAATTAAATAAGGGTTAGAGTTACACGTGTGACTTATTTTCAGACAATTAAAAATGATCTACAATATATGAAGCATTGTCTTTAAAGACATGCAGATATGAAGGCAAAGAATGTGCTCAGGTTAACGCAATACAAGATTTTAAAATGATTCAACACTGATACATGTTTCAATAACATGGCTGCAAAAAGAGAATTCCTTGTGCAGCCAATATTTTTGTCTTTTTATAAATTACCAAACTTTAGGCAAAACACTGTTTAAATATCAGTGTTGGCAATATCTTGGTGCCAAAAAAGTTGAAAATGTTATTGTGCAGTTTAAGACAGTGCAGTATATTTGATTATTACATTAACAGAGACTGTGTGGTATTAAAAAGTGTCAAACATTATGACAACCTTAGTTGACACACTAATGTTATGTTTTTAAAGGGAAGTAAAAGAGGCATGAGAATGTAATCCCAAATAAAAATATTTAAAGACACACTCACACTAGGCCCAGTTGCCCTGTACTGTGCCAAAGCACGGATGTTCCACCTGACCTACACTCACACTGTTCCAGGCCCAATCAGGCCTGAGCATGCTTACCTCTAGTACAACTGTCATTACGTCATAATCCGACACATGCATGGCTTGAAGAGTGGTCCGCATAATGGGAACAACAAAGAGAACTTGATTGCAACTTTACTGACTTTGTGGCATATTTTTGTATTGTTTTGGTCATAACACTTCTGGATTTCTCAATGAGGCGACCCAGCAATGGTTTAAAGGTCATGTCCTTTCAGTGTTTGTAACTTAAGAGGTCAATTTAGTAATTTGATTCATTTTAATATTGAACAGATGTATTTAACCTGGAGAAACAGTGTGTGCACTATTATTTTATTTTATTTATTTATTTGTTTTATTTTTGTTTTTTGCTTTGTTTGTCTATGTCCGTTTCTCTCACGTTGTATGTTAAGTACAAGATTCTATGTACGATATGGGAAATTTGATTTTTTTGTAATTCCATGTTTAAAAACCAATAAAATGTTGAATACAAGAAAAAATGTCATGTCCATGTTGCTTACCTGTGCTTGTGCTCGTGCATGAGCATCTGTTCTGTGGGGAAGCCCACCTCTTACTATGCCAGTCTCAAGGAAGTGTACGGCACGGTACAGAGCCCTGACACTAGTCATACAAACTGGACTTTGGGGTCAAATGTGATTGGGCACGACACAGATTGCCTTGTGTGAGTGCATCCTCAGATTGGTTTTAACATGAATTTTTCTGCTTAAACCCCCACCAAAAAAACCCCCTCTATATTACCCAAGAAAATGTAAGACTTGTGACTGACTGAATCTGAATGTAAAGCAACATCCCAGAAACATTAGAAAAGACAAGCCTTACCGAGCATCGTGGTCCATGAAGCTGTCAGAAGGGAACATCTGAAACACATGAGGTACCTGAACCAGCACCAGGCTGATCGAGCCGGTTTTTGGCATGTTCTTTGTGGCTATCTAAGGGAAAACCACAATGTAAATTGAATTTTTATTTTATTTTATTTTTTTAAAATACAGCAAATCTTCAGATAGCAAGAAAGTACAAGAAAGATACTTTGTTAAAAATAAAAAGAATGTGCACACTTGTACTTAAAAAGTCAGCAGGATACAGTAACTAGCAGGGCTGTCCTGTCTCACAGACTTCAGTAAACAGCTGGATACTGCAACCACCTGGGATGACCTCAGGCTATGACATCATTTATCTAAGTCTCTTAGTTATGTGTCTGAATAAATTGCAGTCTACGGTTAATGTTCAGTCCCAGGGGCAGTTCTAATGTTAACAGTAAAGTGCTTAAAGTTAAGTACCTGTCCTCGGTAGTTGGCACACTGCTTGGTGAGGATGTTGTTGATCTGGGGGTCCTGGATGGAGCTGAACACCAGAGTCTGCCGGTAGTGTCTGGCCCAGTTGTTTAGGTTCCACATCCTGACCCTGGAGAAGTCCACTCCATGGGAGTCCAGCGGCTGCAGGTTCATGTGCTTCATCACGTGCTGTAGAGGTGGTGACATCAAAATTAAGGCTAGACTCAAGACTGAAGGCTCAGATTCTAAATCTGGAACTAATATGCACATAAGAAATGGTTTCTCTTAATGAAAATATTTTACCATTTTAAAACTGTAAATATTAGTAGGATTATCGTGTGACAGAGGGAACAATGCACCAACCCCTAACCCTTAGGAAGGATGTAATGTTAGCTCATTATACCATGGTTCACACAGATATAAACTCTTCTGTAGGAACTGGAGGTGACATTTAACTTCCCTTCACCTCTATCGATCAATGTTTCATGTGAACTCTACATGTGCTGATGTTTTTATTCAGACTTTAAATCGGTAACACTAATGAGAAAATGTTTTCTGCATCAATGGATTCAGGTATTTTATATAAATTCTTCATCTTGATGCAGATGGTCTTGTTTGCTATATTGTAGCTCAAAAAGAGACATACAGTAGTGATTAATTCCAGTGCGTCACATACAACTCCTTACAGCATCTTAAAGGCTTTATATGTGATTTCTTGATCCAGCAGATGTCGCCCTTGAGCACCAGCATGAAACAAAAACAACTTGTGCTGCATTGTTGTGTTAGCATGCTAATGCTAGCGATCTTTATTATGCTGGTATCTTCACACTGCATGTAAATTTACCTGAAATGAGCGTGATCTAGAAACACAGTTAAGTAGTGAGTACAGTATGTTATTCTTCTTTTCTCTAGTCCCTCAATTAAACAACTTTTATACATGAGGGGAGGAGTCAGCCGGCCGTCCTGGCGATGTAAACAAAGTGAAGATAGGACTCTGAAAACTCTGAAAACATCACAGACAGTGGGACTCGGGTGTTACACCCATTGTAGACAGTCATGACTCACAGAGTTATTTTCAGAGGAGATACTTGATTTATATTATATTTCGGTGAGAAAAATCACATATAAAGCCTTACAAAGTGAGGAGGCATCGACAAGTCTGAAAATATTCACGAGGTTAAAAGTTCAAAGTGCCCTGCCATGTTTTGATAATTACCATGTACAGAGAAACGCTGGCTCTACAGCAGACGCTTTAGCCCCTGAGTGGAGGTTTTAATTTGGATACCACTGATGAAAACACACTGCTCCTTTAAGACTGGATATATAAACCCATAACATAACCATATTTTCTGGCACTGACCGTATGGACCATTCACCCACACAAAATATGACTTGAGTAAAAACGGGGACCAAAACTTCTGTAGTCTGAGCGTATATGTTTAGATCAAAGTGTTCCACAACATCTTTTGAACAGCAGATGGCACCACATCCTCTCCCAGCAGGAGGAACATTACGCTGCTGAACACATATTATCACATCCCTCAATGTTGTGTGTTCTTCTTACCAAGACATGTTCCCAGTTCTGCATGAGGAGGACGTCAGCCTGGTCCACCACCAGCAGCTCGATGGAGGAGAGAAAATCAAAATCTCTCTTACTCTCTCCTTCTGCTCCCAGCACTGTGCGGAGGCCCAGAGGAGACGCAATGATGATGTCCGATGAATAAAACGGGGAGTAGAGACGTATGCTGCTCCTCACAATGGAGACGCCTGTTGTGCAGATAACAACAAGTCAAAGCCTCAGACAGAAAAAACATAATGGTAAATTGTTTTGACTATATTTATATACTCAGCCATACCTATCCTGAAGTGATCGTCCACGTTGCCTGAGAAAATGGCGCGGTAATCGTCTGGTCTCTGCGTTTTGGATGGTTTCTCATCTTCCTCCTCTCCAAACTCTTCTTTGAACCTCTTCTTGTTGTTCACCACGATTTTTTTACCTTTCGTTTCCAGCAGGCTGATGAGCGTCTGGACAACTCTCAGAGCTCCGCCTCTGAACGGAATCAGAATCAAGACCTGAAAAAATGAACGACGGCCATTAAAAAGGAGCTGCTGGCCAGTAAAGACATAAATTTGGTTTTATTGATGAATGATGAGCTGCATTAAAAAATCTTGGAGGAAAAGTGAATCTAGTGAACTTTAGCACTTTTTTCTTTCAAACAAAGAGTCAGGACAAGAACATATTGCCTAATCAATATATTTTGTCTCACCCTTAATTAGAAATGTAAGGAGCTTTGTTCATAACACTTCTGTAAGGATGTTCCAAGGTGCAGGCTAAAAAACCCGAGGTGACAAAGCTCCCAATCTGTGGAACAGTCTACCTGTTAATATAAGAACTGCTCAGTCCATCAAAAACTTCAAATCTTTGCTTAAAAAACTTCACTTCACTTCCTCCCATCCAGGAGATTGCAAAGATCCGCTGCCCGACCAGGGCTCAGAAAATCAGCAGAGACACCTCCCACCCCCACCAAGGACTGTTTTCGTTGCTGGACTCAGTTTTTCGCTCATGAAGCAGAACTTCCAGGTTCTGTAACAGCTTCTTCCCACAGGCCATAAGACTTTTGAACACAAAAAAAGAATCCCTCAAACCCCCACACAGGCCTACCTCACTGGACTGTACAATACAATATAACGTGCAATATATTTATCTGTATAGTAATTTTACTCATAGCTTTTCTTTTTATATCTATTTATATCTGCACCTTATTTTTTCTATGTAAATACATGCTGCTGTTTTTTTATCCTGCACTACAACGAGCCAAATGCAACGAAATTTCGTTCTTATCTGCACTATGAAGTACAAGTTTGAATGACAATAAAGAAAGTCTAAGTCTTAGTCTAAAACTCACCTCTTTGCTCTGGCTTTTAATACAATTTGAGCTTGAAATTTTGAATTTTTTATTCATGCTCCTATTTATTGTGTTTTTATTGTGTTTCATTCTAAATGTTATTTTATTTGTTGTTTTTACATTGTGTTTTTGTACAGCACTTTGGTCAATCCAGGTTGTTTTAAATGTGCTATAGAAATAAAGATTGATTGTAAGTTTACCTTGGGCCTGGTCAGTCCTTGATCTCTGGGTTCATCCTGTGGCTCGGCTCCAGCTTTAGTCTGAGTCTTCTGCTCTCTCAGCTGTGCGTTATGAGCCAGGACCTGAGAGTTTGCTTTCAGCACATGGTTGAGCACGTGGAGGCAGTATGCACTGCGGACCTGAGGGCCCTGGTTCAGAGGGCAAGTCTCTGGGTAGTAGAGGTCCTTGTAGGAGCCCATGAGAGCCAACAGCTCAAGCTGCAGTGAGCCGACCTCCCCTTTGGGCTCTGAGGTCTGGTTTAAGTTCTTCCAGTTAGACTCCAAAAGTTTGTGGAAAACAGGGAGATTTGTGTCTTTCTGTTGTCCGATCGACCCAAACTTCTCCAGCGGATTGGTGCAGAGTAATGTGCCCAATTTTGGCCACTAAATATGGGGAAAGACATTGACATACGTGAAGTTTGTTTACAGCTTTTTTGAATAAATAAAAGTGTGTCAATCGTGCCAAAAAATGAAAGTAATACCGTGATCTGTGCCTTTGCCTTGCTGCCAGATGTTATCCTCTTCACGTCCTCTTCACCTAGTTCTGTGTCCAAATGATCTGAAAACATGTCTGTGTACAGAAAAAAAAACACTCCTTAATCTTTTTTCTCAATCGTCCGAGCTGAACAAAATGTTTACTTACTTTGAAAACAGAATACAGGTAACACATGAAGCATCTCTTACATGTATCCAGATAAGATTTACTCTTTTGTTACCTTTGTAGTCTTCTTGCTCTGCAGTTGTTTTTGTATCCTCCGCTCCTCCATCTTCTTCAATGAAGTTGGTCTCCAAACAGAAATGGGATTCATTCTCCTTGTCTTCAAATTCTTCACCTCCTGCCTCCTCTGTCTCCACCATCTCCTCTCCTTCTGCTGCTTTAGTCAGAGCCATATCGGCATCCTGGGGTTCTTCCTCTCCGACGTCATCTTCTTCACCATCCTCATCTTCTTCACCATCCTCACTCTCATCACCGACATCATCATCACTGTCCCCTTCTATTAAAAGAAACATTTAGTCAACTGTGAAGGCTTCTTCTATACTTTTACTCAACATGCTGGAGATAAACAGCTCACCTTCCTCCAGAAGCTCTTCTTCTCCTTCCTCTTCCTCATCATCATCACTGCTCTCCTCGTCACTCTGCTCATTGCCGGTGGGTTTGCCGAGCGTTGAAAGAAGTTTCTGATAGGCTGTTTTCTGCTCTGGTTCTTCCTCCTCGTCCTCCTCCAGCTCATCAGGCTCAACGTCAGAGTGCTCTGGGCTTGCAGGCTGTCCCAACATGGAATAGTTCATTCATAATATTATAAAACAGTCCAGAGTCAAACAATGGCTGGATGGTCCACACATTCTTTGTGAAGAACTACTCACCAGTTTAACTATTTCAGTTCTTTCAGGACCCTCACTGACTCTGTGAAAAACACAACAAGAAACATGTAGCTATGCAACTTGGACAGCGTGCATATTTTAGGACACAGAAAATAGGTCTTTTCTCATTTCTCTATTTGTGCCTCCTCCCACCTGTGACCCAGAAATCAATCCCTGCAAGCCGTCTAATGGGAGTTTCCATTACGTACACAATGCAACTTTAAGCTACTGTAAGGAACATTTGGTTGTTTCTCTTTTTATTTGTAAGCTGGTTTTCTTTTTTTTACTTTTATTCACCAAAACATGCATACACACACTCACACAGTAAAGAAAAGAGATACAAACATGAGAGGAACTGTGGTACGATACAGTTCTGCAAGCAGATTTAGACAAAAACAAACAAACAAACAAAACAAAAGGAAAAGGGTCAGTAAATAAAATGAATGAATTAGAAAGAGGGACAAAATAAGTAAATGAGCAAACAGGACAAAGACAAACATGGGGGCAGTATAGTAACAAAATGATGTAAAATAAAACTGGTGGTGATTTTTGGTATTATTTGTTTGTTTTTGTTTTTCACTTTGTATGGGTGCTAACATGATGATTGCCAAATACAGACTGTTTGTAAATTATATTCAAATTGTTGTGCTAATTTCCTGTAATAAGCTGGTTTTCAGTTATTTAAACATTATCCCACACTGTTATTTCTCAAACGAAATTCGAAAAATGATGCTATGTTTTTGTTTTTAAATGATGCTATGTCTGAGTAAATACTTCTAGTTCTGGTATGAATTAACAATTACAATTACGATATCGGGTTCATTTGAACAATTTCGGCTTCATACGAATAAAACACAAATATAGCTGGCATAGCTACCCACTATAAGTTTTCTGAATGAAACGTAGCTAGTTGGCTAACATAAACATAGCTAAAGTATCTTAAATAGTCTTTACGACAGGCCGGATGTGCTGTGCTGCTTACACATCGTGGAATGGATGCTCCTCTCCAAACTCCTTCAAATGTTTCTTCTGTTTCTTGGATAAACTTGTAAATAGTTGCGTATTCTGTCTTCTTCTGCCCATGTTGACACTATGCTGCACACGTGTGGTGTCGCTCCAGCTTCTTCTTCGCTGGTTGTTGTGAATGAGTAGGAGAGGTATCACCGCCTACAGGTCCGGAGGGGAACTACAGGTTGTGCAGTTTTGTTTGAGCAATTTCAACGCAGTCTAAACACAAATATATGATGAAAAAAAAAAAGAAGAGATAGATAATTCAAAGATAAATACGTGGGCTGCTGGGTCCTGTTTTTGCTGAAATCGTTCTATATTTAATATAAAGTTATTGACATCATGAACTTCCAACAGTTTAAATTATTTTGGAATTAATGATTTATTAATTCACCCAAAATTTTTCACTTTTATTAAAAAGTAGCTTTATAAGATAACTAAGGACAAATCAGTCTTGGATTCATGGATTAGTCTTATTATCTATTATTACTTATTTTCCTTATGTGCAGTCAAAGGGACAAACTTAAAAAGTCTGATAATGTCAAATATGAAACACTCAATAGTAAATGAATGTTTCAAATGCCATGCTAGCTTTAAAATTGATTCATTATCCACATAAGCATAGGCTACAGTAACCTCTGTAAACGGATGATAATATTTGATCTGAAATGCATTTCCTCACACTGCTATTCCACTAATTATTCTATATCAGAAGTAGTTAGTTTAGCAATAAATCTTATATATCATTATTACAGCAGGCTGGTGAGTTTTTGTTAAATTATTGTTTCTTTTGTCAGGTGAGAAAGGGTTAATGTTGTGCACAAAAGGTATTCTGTATACTCCTTTTAGAGTAATTGTAAGTAATTGCTTGCAACACATTCGGAGTCTGTATCTTTTAATGAGCAGACAGGTCTGCAGTCTGCTGTTAAACCTTGATCAATAATTGAACATAGTAATATCATTTTACTGTTTGCCTTTTTTTAGCTGTTACCATGGCAGAAGCTCATCTATTATTCACCATATTGGTGTCTAGTTTTTGTACTCCGGGTATTTTCAGCTCATTTTGTAGCCGTCAATGGGGATATTATTGATTGATGATCACACACTACTATGGCTTAGCCTGACAGAGCCTGTTTGGCTATTCTGATGGGAAACATGTGAGACATTTTCTATATCAATGGAGAGGCCAAAGGTGAAAGAAGAGAAAGAAAAGGCTGGGAAAACTGTTCGGTTCAGGGTAGCTTCTGCCAACAGCGGCCGGGTCCTGACGGAGGTGTTCAAGGATGAAACACTCTGGAGCAGCTCAGTGTCGGACTCTGTGGACTCTGACAACACCAGCAGCCCGGAGACAGAACAGGGGAGCTCACCACCCACCAGTGAGGCCAACAGCCACCTGAACGGTCTTGTGGTGGTGGGATCTGCGCAGGAGGAGAACGGCGCTGAACCTGATGACCTGCTTCTTTACGCCAGTGCCAAGAGAGATATGCTCTTCAGCAACAAGCGGATCAATATCTGCAGCAAGAATGGGACCATACGAGGAGTGAGGAACAAAGTGAGCGCAGGCCAAGTTCTCTTCAACAACCTCTCCAACATGTACTCAGTAAGTAGACAGGGCAAAAAAGGATGTCAACATCAAGTTACAGATTTACTTTTTGTCATTCAAAATTCTTCAATTCTCCTTTTTTCTTCATTTTCTTCTTCATCACATTTCTATGCAACAAATAAATCAACTTTGCAGGCAGGTTCAGTCCAGTGTGATTTATACAAAAATGTAGACCAAGTGGGCAGAAATGCTCAGATGCTTTAAGCTGCAAAAATGTTCCTTATGATCATTTGATGTTTCACTGCATCTCCAGACAAAATGATTTTGCAGACAAAAATGATTGAACCAGATGTTTTCATTTATTGCAAATTGAAATCAACAGTGCATCAAATAGTTTTTCTGTAAACAAAAGCCTACATTTAACAGCTCTTGTAACTTTGCTGAATGAATCTCCAACAGGGAAATACGTGACAGGAACAGGAAATGCAGAATTTTCATAATGTTGTCTTAAAACATCATATTTGCAGAATTTTTTCTACTATTACTATTGCAGACAATGGAAAGAGATAATTTTTAAATATATTTCCTTGGATAAATAATAACCATCAATAAATTCTCAAGATAAAGAGTGTGAGCTATCAAAAAAAATTATTTGTCATGTGTCTTCCTACTTTTTTATTTATGTATTTAAATTAGGGACAGTGCACATTAATGCATATAAACATGTAAATATGCCAGATTGTAGCGTTCGGCATATTTCCATCTGTAGTCCCTCTGCAGGCATGTGTACACATTTACATAAAACCACAATGACAAGCGGAAGCAAACAACATAAACTGCACATTAGTTGACAGTGATACATTTATACAAGCATTAAAGTGGCAGAAAAACAAACAGTTGGAGTGACCAAGTGACATTCAGAGTTAAAGTGCTTAAAGTTTTGCTGCTGGAGGTCAAGTGAAGTTTTGCACATGATTATGAAGTACCTACGTGGAGCCTGTAACTTTATAGTACGTCAGTGTTCTTATCATTTTTCTTCTGTGTCTCCTCTCCAGTCAGTAAACAACTTTTGTTCTCTTTTTCCTTGAAGGGTTCCCTTCGTCATCAGAAAAGGAGACCTTGGGAAAAGGAGTGAACAGTTTGGAAGAAGCAGTTTCACATCATTTTGAGCGACAAGAAGAAACCGTTTTGCTGAAGATTTTGTTGCATTTGGTCCAAAACTAGACCTCATTACTTCAGTTATACAGCTTTATTATATCTGGTTCATTCTTATCTTTCTTTATCACAAGTTGTTATTTAAAGGACTAACCAAACAAACTACGAAAGTTACTTTACTGGACCTTCTGAGACTTTGAGTTACTGATTATGATCTTACATTTTTTTAGACATTGTATACATGTGCCCTGAATTTCATATGATTTTGATATTTGGTGGAGTGTGGTTCATTGCATTAAAGAGAATTCTGTAAAACATGAATATTTTTAATGATGTCCATGTTGTGGATGTGGTGTGCTTCATATTTAATAAGATTTATTTTTTGGCTTTTTGTGCCTTTAATGGAGAGCTAGGACAGTGGATAGAGTTGGAAATCAGGGAGAGAGAGAGTGGGGAATGACATGCGGGAAAGAAGCCACAGGCTGGATTCAAACCCGGGCTGCCCGCCTGGAAGACCACAGCCTCCATACATGGGATGCGCGCACCAACCACTGCGCCACCAGCGCCCCACGTGCTCCATATTTTCCATCGTTCAATTTATAAAGAGTGAAAATATGAACTTTTATTTTGCATTTAGAGGAATTTTGACCTTTGTACTTTCCTCTTACTACCCTATTCTATTAAATACCCTCCATGTTTCAGTATCACAGACTGAAGACAGACTTAAACTGACTCATAAGGTGTATTTTACATCTTAAATTACACTAAAATCACAAAAATTCCTTTGGCAATGTTTTGAAGCCAGTTTATCATTTGGGAGAATGGATGGATGGGAGAGTAAGGAAAAGGGTATGTCCCCTTTCCCTGCTCACCCACTAGAAACCCTAGAGGAAAAGAAAAGGAGTTGTGAGGTTTAGAGAGGGCTAGGAGCTAGGGAAGGAAATGTGGGGGTTTAACAAGGTGTCAGGGGAGGAGGGGTTGAACGGCCATGGCAGATGTCGTTGGAGAAGGGGTTTCTGTTTCGCTTTTAAAAAAGACTCAAGAATCTTTTCCTCAAAGAATTATTATTTTATTCCTTCCTTCTTCTCGAGAGTCTGCTTTATAATGATGATGATGATGATAGACTTCAGGAGGCTGGCTTTCTCCACTGGAGCTGCTGTTTTTCCAGGTCCTCTTTGGCATGGTTCAGGAAGGCCTTCATCCTGCAGGTGTCTGCAAGGAGCTGCCTCTGGCCCACTGACATTTCTATTTCTTGTTTGCCAGGTCCTTTTGGGCGGGCTCCGGTGCTTTCTGCAGCCCAATTGCCTCTTCTTTATCTTTTTTGTTCTCTAGGAGCTGACACCTGTCCATCTCCCACTGTCACCTGTGTCACTAGCTCCTTTTGGGCCTGTTCCTTAGAGCCTCTTCCTTGAGTTCAGACAAAAGCTGAGACGTGCCGTTGTTGTCCCAGTGGTGTCTCTGGGTTGGCTGTGGCTCAGGTGGTAGACGCGGTCTTCTCTCGACTGGAAGGCTGGGGATTCGATCCCCAGTTCCTGCAGCCACATGTCTGATGTGTGTCCTGTAGGCAAGTCTCCCAACCCCAAGTTTTTTCCACTTCATGGTCACTTTACACGGCAACCATCAAGACTTGAAAATCAGTACAGAAGTGTAAGTCCATTTACCATCTCTGGTCCTCTTGGGCTTGGTACAGGGCAGCCTTCATCCTGCAGGTTGTCTCCTTTTGCTCTCCAAGCAGGCGGGACCTTTCCCTATCAGACTGCTGGATCCTGCAGGTTCTCTTATTCTGCAGGTATGTCCTCCTCCTGTCATTATCATTATTTTTCACTGGGATTAATTCAGCAATTTGACACAGATAATGAAAATAATGATTTAGTTAAAGTTACTTAACTCCTTTCCTCTATCATAACACATACAGTCTAACAAAAAGATCAGGTTTGGCAAGATTGTAAACAATGTAAAAACACAGTGAATATTCATAGAAATGTGTTTATTTTGATTTTAAAAGAGACTAAAGTATGAATTAAGTGTCTGTGTGTATTGTTTTATGAAACTCTTTAAATTACGTCACAGTGACGTCATCATTAGTTAACGGCGAGCGCCAGGAATTAATCCTATAGTATTTCATGCATTACATTACAAGAGTCATACATTACTAAAGCATTAATTAAGCACTAAATAAGTAGACTATAACATTTGTAAACTAATTGTACGATTTTAGGATTTTAGGAGCATTAATTAGATTTTACTATCTATGTGTAGCCTGGTAAAAAAAAAAAAAAAAAATCTTATGGGTTGTCTGTTTGTTATTGTAGATTATGGTTTTCATTGACACAGCACACAGTGAGTTTTGGAGAGGACTTTCCCTTTAACTGACAGATTTCTGCATCTCCATCTCACCTGCCTCAGTCAGCTTATAGGCTACCAGA